TATTATATATATTATATACATATAAAATTATAATTACGCAACATTAATTTTCGGAAATTAATGGGAACGTATAAGCTTATTGAGCTTGAGTTTCTGCTACAATCTTTTATCATTTACGAGTATTACAAATATTATGTCGACATGTTATGATACTTTCATTGGGAGAAAGTACACTTTAATTCCAAAAGATGAAACACAATGAAAAAGAATGCAAGAATCTGGAACATCCGGTATACCCGGACATATTCGACGGGATTGTTTCAACTAGCGGAATGACTCTGGAAAAGCTCTGATCGATTATGCAGTAACCATTCGCTATTAATATTTATTGCTTTCGCGACTTCGTGCTTTCTACCCTCGTTTCTCTTCGGCCTTGGCGTGATGATTTATCGGGAAACTTTCGGTTGGCTCGTCTATCCCTCGTCGGAATAATAGACGGCGGTTTAAAGTTCTGGCGACATCGTGAACATTTTTATGAACATTGGCACGCTCGCTGGAACGTGCCTTCGATCGCGAAGCGGCGCGATTACGTTTTTCGAGCGTGATCGCACTGCGGCGAAATGGAAGTAATTTTAACGTCTCTCCGAGAGCGGGTGGCGAATGGGAGAGAGGAAAGATTCCGAGAAAACGGAAACGCGCTACACTTTTTGCATGATGAATTCAGAACGGGAATCCTCTAATCTAACTCACGTGCCACGGATTTAAAACACGAACGACGATGGCACGTGCGATCAAAAGACAGGTTAGTGTGTGTGTGTACAAAACGAATTCATTAAAATAATAATTCCAAGCCTGTTGATTCTCGATTGGATATAGGATGCAATCGATTGCGCGTTACGTTGTAACTCGTTGTCAACCGCAGACGATGATATAGTTTAGTCGATCGAATTCTTTCAGCATCATTACGCAAAGGTTCAGAAGAAAAATGGATCGATGTAGCCGACACGCTGATAAGCAAAAGATGGAAGAGATTTTGTTTTATCGGCAAGCGCGCTCTCACAATTTATGCGTCACTGCAGATTCCGTTTATTTCACAATCAACGGCAGTTCTAAGTTATAAGATCGAATCGAATGAGAAAAATTTTTAATGAGGATTATAATAGCGTATCATTAGTCATGATAATTATTGTCGTTATTACTATTATCGTTCTGTAATGTCAATAATATATATATATATATTTTTTTTTTTTCCCTATACTAATATTTCCTATACTATATAATAAATATTATCCAGATATGAAATAAAAATTTACGATTTCTAAAATTACAACACGTGTATCAATATTGTACGGATAAACAAATGTCTACAACACCGAGCTTCCGTATTCTCTTGCGGTGTTATAACGACAGCACCGACATTATTTAGCGTTTCCCTTCGGTGATAATCAAAATAATGAAATTATTTGACCGGGGAAATTGATACGATATGCGCCTCGCGGGCCTCGAAGCATAGCGGGACATAAGCTTCTCTCTGTTCTCTGGCAAGCAGCCTGACTGGAAATTACAGGGAAAATGTGTGGCAGTTCTCTCTCTCTTTCTCTCTCTCGTTAAATTAATGGCGCAATTTCGATGTCCTGCCACGTGTCACCGCGGTGTTGTACGCGAGGGATGTTGCCATCGGCAAATCGAAGACTGAAACAGGAACCGAAAACATTTGCACAACCCCTATCGTAAAATAGTTCACGACTGAAATTCCGCAGCGTTCGCCTTACCTGCCTTTCCACGACTAACATATCGAATGTATTTGCGTTACGCTATTAACTCGATTAGCCATCACCTTCAACCCTCGGAGTAATTTATTAACGTGGTAATCTTTTCGCCTTCATGTAAAAAAAGTCAAAGAAGATATAGATTTAAATTAAGTCAGATATCGATTATTCTTATGCAAATTGTGAATCTTTAGACTTTTAAATATCATATTTTATGATTTTTTAATGCATTTCTTGAAAATTTCTTAAATCTGCTTTCTTATGGATGTTTTTATGTTGGAAAACAATTATGAAATTTTAATGAGTTTCATTACGAGAAGGTGTATGGGTGCTCTTAACCGCGACGCCAGTAATAGATACTTATTTAGCAGCAAACCACAGAATGGACGAGACATGTTTTTCCTCAGGCTCGTCTGTTACAAGTATAGCGTTAATATAATCCGTATTGTTTAAAGAGATTATGCGTGTTCCTCCGGGATTTGTAAAATTACACTTTATAGAATGACCGTGTATAAGACTGTGTATACGCGATAGAGGATACTTTGTTCATTTTAACAAGCCGTGCTGAGAGATCTCGCCTTCGAAGTTATAATTAAATTTTCCTCGTTAAAAGCAATCCGCGAATAGCGAAGAAGGAAGGCGTGGATCGAACATTGTTTTCGATGATTCGTTTATTTTATTCAACTTTTAACGAATTGAATTTTAAATGTCATCGCTTAATATGATAGAGTATACCGCGGTGATTTCAAATAGTAAAATATTTCTAATGTCGAAAATAATATAGATTTATATCTAGCGTCTCTTGAAGAAAATGAAGTTGTTATAATGTCTTTACCAAGAGATACTTTTTGCCTATGTTCGGATTGCCTTTGTTCAGATATAAACAATTAATCTATTGTAAATTAACGCAAGTTATTTACCTAAAGAATCTTTTAAAATGTACTTAAAGCTTATTATTTGTTCTTGTGATATAAATGTATATAAATCTTCAAGGCATCTTTTAATTTCAATTTCGTACAATCTCCAACATTTTACAAGCTATTTTACAAGCTCCAACTTATAAAATAACTTCGTAATCTTTCGATTAAATATCGCAACGTTTAACGATTCACTTTTTTTTTAACAATCTGAAAATTACAGCGAGTATATCCTATAATGCAATTGGTTACTTTGCAAAGCACAGAAAATCCCTTGGAATTTGCAATAGTTAATCCTCATGTTACACATGTACTCACACGGAGATAGTACGAATGCGTTTTATGTACAGATTCTACATGGAATGTACTAGTCACAGGAAATTCCGCAGAGCAGTAAACCATGCATGAGTGCACACGACGAAGCGAAGGCAGAATTTGCCGATTTACGAATTTGGACAATGATAATGATTATTTTGCATAATCCTATGTTTCCATTACCATTTTCCTGTTATTATTTATTCTCTTCTTTCTCTTTTGTATTTTTCTTTCCCTTCATTTCTATTATAATTTGAAGAAATTCTTTCTTTTTATTGAACATTCTCGTTCTTAATCATTTCTTAATATTTTTTCAAACAAATAACATATCATATGCAGATGGAAACAAGAATTCATTATATCTATCTACTACATCCAACCATTTTTAAGTTCTAAACACAATGCGAAATAACAGCGATAGTGATAGATATCGTGATAGCAATAATAGGAACAGAGGGAATCCAACATACGGGAATGCATATGTCAATGCATATAGGAACACGGAATAAGGCAATAATGATCAATTTCCGACGAGTTAGAATTCTATGTATCACTTACCAATCAGCGTTCATATTTTTCATTCTGTACTGTATATTATATGTACTGTAATCTTGAAGCAGATGGAAGAATATGTTACAGAAGAATATATATATATATATAAGAATACATAAGAATACATAAGAATATACTACATGTATACGAAATCAGATTAATTGGCATTTGTATTTCTTTCGCGGCATTGTGCAACGGGAGGTGACAATTATGCGTTTATTTCTATAACACTTCTATTGCTATTCTTATCGCTATTGCCTCGCATTGTGTTAGGAGTTTAGAATTGCTTCTTTTGATATATAAGATTTGTTTGCGTCGCATA